GCCTCGCTGACCCTCCTAGCCTACTTTTACTTTCCTATAACCACTTTTCATGTCCATTGTTTTGCCTAAATATAAGCAGCTATAAATTCTAACTTTCAAATATGAACCATTAGAGGATAACCTCTACACGGTGCGTGTGCGTCAAATGATCGAGCCTATGGTTTAGGATCACACGACTTCGTAGTTTAAATTGAATATCTTCTACAATTTATATTCCTTTTTAGGTTTTAGAGGGTTGTTTTTGTGGTTAGGCGCAAAAGTGTGTTTATTAACAAATATATTGAGGTGACATATAGTACGTTCTTTTAATATTTTGTCGACAAAGTGACAAGAAAACTACGGAAAATGTAATAGTTGTTCTGCATGAAATACCTTTTTTAGAATTATAACAATTCAATAGAGGTACAATTATTCAATAAAGGGGTTCCGAATGTATTTAAATACACTTATTAATATTTAATTGTGACATTAAGACAATAGAGTATTAGTAGAGTATAGAGTATAATTCATTGCCTTGGGTTTTGAAATAGACACACATCCCTACCTGGGGAATAAGCTTGCTAGTATCCAGTGGTTCAAATCCTGTCAATGACCAGCAGGTGTTAGCTATGTCTATGTGATAATATAGCAACCATATGCCTATCTAGCATGTGTAAAACATTTCCAGGCTGGAGCCTAGAGGAAAAAAGGTCAGCAGTAAAAAATTAACGTAAATAGAATGAGTCTTTCATAAAGTAACCGACTAATGTAGCTCTGACTGCTCTTTCTAGGATTTGGCATTATTTGTCCTAGGACGCTAGGCACGAGCCTGGGATTGTTTTTCACATTACTTCAGGCCAGACCTAGGGGTTGCGGCATTACCACTTAGATAAAATCCACTGGCGACATGGTGGGGATCGAACCCGGGACCTCAGGGTCTGAAGTCCCGCGCTCTAACCACTACGGCAGCTCGCACCCGACTGCATGACTTAGATAGTCAATGGAGATTTATAATTTACGATAAGATGCCGTTCAGTTTGCTTGGTTGTTAGTTGTTGTATATAAAAAAAGATATTTTGTAATTCAACTGTGATGGAAGTAGTTGTATAGTTGTAAAAATATAAAACTGATTGTGGAAATGGAATGTACAATTATCGGTAATGTATCCATTGTAAAATGTAAATGTTTTGATTACAGCAAGGCAGGAACTATGGATAAGTATGATATTGACCATTACGCCGGTCACTGACTACAGTAGAGTAGAGTTGACTCGTGTTATGTGCAGTAGTTGTGGGTGACCCGAGCAGGGGTCAGCAGTGACATCCACAGTTGTGGACAATTAGCATTGGTTAGCCACAGAGAAAGCCTGAGGCAGGTCAGAGATCGTGGAAAGTGCAAAACAGCATAACACCCACGCGAACTACATAAACAGGACACTCACTAAATACGGCATAACACATACGCAAACTACTGTACATAAACAGGACCCCAACTAAATACGGCATAACACAAACACAAACTACATAAAAAGGTCACTCACTAAAACGGCATAACACATACGCAAACTACTGTACATAAACAGGACCCCAACTAAATACGGCATAACACAAACACAAACTACATATAAAGGTCACTCACTAAATACGGCATAACACATACGCAAACTACTGTACATAAACAGGACCCCAACTAAATACGGCATAACACAAACACAAACTACATAAAAAGGTTACTCACTAAAACGGCATAACACATACGCAAACTACATAAACAAAATACTAACCCACGCGAACTTCATTTAAACAGGACACCCGCTAAATACGGCATTCGCCAACTTCATAAAACAAACAACTTCAAATACTGCATAAAAACATTAGATAACCAAACACAAGAATACTTCACACCCCATTGTAAAATTTTGTTTTTCTAAAATAGTAAATTTTGGTGATACTGGGAACTAGTGTCAACAAAACTTTGTTTCCACTGTGAGGTTAATTTAATGATTGTGGTGCTTTAGTGTTGAGTAATATAACTAGGGGACAAGTAATTGTTTGCGATTTGATAGTTTTATTTGGTTAAACGAGGTTGTAAATAACTGCAATAACAAGAAATGTTAAACAAAAATATTATCCTGGCGGCAACGGACGGAACCACCAATAAAATTGTCTTCATGTGATCTAGAGAATGACAAATCTACTGAGGGAGTATATTTTATCTTCGACACCTTCAAGTACCGCATAATACACACGGCAACTATATAAACGGGACTAAAACTAATACGGTATAACACATACGCAAACTACATAAACTGGATACCTTCAAATACTGCATAAAACTTAAGCAAACTGCATTACAGAAACACCGACTAAATACAGCATAACTCCCAACGCAAACTACATAAACTAGACACCTTCAAATACTGCATAAAAATTTAAGCAAACTGCGTTAGAGAAACACCGACTAAATACAGCATAACTCCCTACGCAAACTACATAAACTAGACACCTTCAAATACTGCACAAAACTTATGCAAACTGCATTAGAGAAACACCTACTAAATACAGCATAACTCCCTACGCAAACTACATAAACTAGACACCTTCAAATACTGCATAAAACTTATGCAAACTGCATTAGAGAAACATCGACTAAATACAGCATTACTCCCTACGCAAACTACATAAGCTAGACACCTTCAAATACTGCATGAAACTTATGCAAACTGCATTAGAGAAACACCTACTAAATACAGCATAGCTCCCTACGCAAACTACATAAACTAGACACCTTCAAATACTGCATAAAACTTATGCAAACTGCATTAGAGAAACACCTACTAAATACAGCATAACTCCCTACGCAAACTACATAAAGTAGACTCCTTCTAATACTGCATAAACTTAAGCAAACTGCATTAGAGAAACACTGACTAAATACAGCATAACTCCCAACGCAAGCTACATAAACTAGACACCTTCAAATACTGCATAAAACTTATGCAAACTGCATTAGAGAAACACCTACTAAATACAGCATAACTACACGAACTACACAAACAAGACATCAACTCATCATCTCAATATGCTATTATACATAATCCCATCCTGAGTTGGGTTTGGATACTATTATATGATGGTTGATGGATAGTATCTGTCACAACTTCTAAATGGACATATCTGAAAAACACCGACTAAATACAGCATAACTCCCTACGCAAACTACATAAACTAGACACCTTCAAATACTGCATAAAACTTATGCAAACTGCATTAGAGAAACATCGACTAAATACAGCATTACTCCCTACGCAAACTACATAAGCTAGACACCTTCAAATACTGCATGAAACTTATGCAAACTGCATTAGAGAAACACCTACTAAATACAGCATAGCTCCCTACGCAAACTACATAAACTAGACACCTTCAAATACTGCATAAAACTTATGCAAACTGCATTAGAGAAACACCTACTAAATACAGCATAACTCCCTACGCAAACTACATAAAGTAGACTCCTTCTAATACTGCATAAACTTAAGCAAACTGCATTAGAGAAACACTGACTAAATACAGCATAACTCCCAACGCAAGCTACATAAACTAGACACCTTCAAATACTGCATAAAACTTATGCAAACTGCATTAGAGAAACACCTACTAAATACAGCATAACTCCCTACGCGAACTACACAAACAAGACATCAACTCATCATCTCAATATGCTATTATACATAATCCCATCCTGAGTTGGGTTTGGATACTATTATATGATGGTTGATGGATAGTATCTGTCACAACTTCTAAATGGACATATCTGAAAAACACCGACTAAATACAGCATAACTCCCTACGCAAACTACATTAACTAGACACCTTCAAATACTGCATAAACTTAAGCAAACTGCATTAGAGAAACACTGAATAAATACAGCATAACTCCCTACGCGAACTACACAAACAAGACATCAACCTGGGCAGAATTGTTCATCTCAATATGCTATTATACATAATCCCATCCTGAGTTGGGTTTGGATACTATTATATGATGGTTGATGGATAGTATCTGTCACAACTTCTAAATGGACATATCTGATCTAACAATCCTTTTACAATTAATGATCAATATTCCCTGGTTCTTTTACAAAAGTTATACTGAAAATATACTATCAAACACAGCACCGAATATCATCTTTCTAGTCATGGGAACGCACAAAGAGCAAACCTTACCCAGCGAAACAATAATGAGGCAATCGTCATATATAATTCATAAAGTTTGACTCGATGACCCTTGGTGGGAATATTGACAGTCCTGCAGGTGCTCGTACATCATATGTGATGTAAGTGTTGTTTACTTTCCCCGGGTGTCCTACCCTGGAGTGCGTGACGTGGAGAGTTCCGGAGATATAGCGGGGGCGGAGGCGGCCACCGTGTTACATCAGACAGCAGACAGTTAGTAGCGATCATCTGTAAATTGTGTAGTAAAACAAAACAACATATTGTTGACCATTTTAGCTAACTGAGTTTTAAAGAAACTTCATTATCTTTTGATAGTTTTCAACTGGGTCCAGTTGATCTTGATGGAGATTTAGATAAATAGTCCGGGCTTAAGAGACACATAAATTTCACATTATTATTTTTGGTTTTAATAAATTTATATTGATCGAGTGCATCTCATCTCATCTCATTCTACTCTCTTCTTACATTATCATTGAACTTAAATACAGATGTAGGTGGCTTTGCTGTCTCAAAACTAATGATTTATTTCTAAATTCTTCTATTAGGACAAAATAAGATTTTTTTTTCTTGTCTTCAGGTTGGTGATCAATTTATTTTCAATGTGTATATCGACATAAGCGTAACGTAGCAAGTGCAAGATGTGAGCTGGAACATTGCAAGAGTGTACTGGTACATTGAGGTACAAATGTACAGCAATAATCGACAGCATGCATGTCATACTTGAATCAAAATAAAACAATATTTGTTCAATGGAAAAATAACCAAAGATTTATTTGATTTCAGGCGACAGGGTGTCTGTACGATCACATACGCTGGGGAGAAGCCTTTGTCGTAGTGTACAGCATCTGTGACATGAACAGCTTCAACGACGCTCACACGTTGCTGGACAAACTCAGCAAACTCAAGCTTCCTTCCTACTACACCACACTGTTGCTAGGCAACAAGCGGGACCTAGACCACTCCAGGTACAGTAGTCATGATAGGTTTACAAGCTAACATAACGCTAGCATATCATTATATTTCTATGATGTTTGATTGCGTGTTAGAAACCACCACTAGTTTTATTTAATCTTATTACAAGAGTATAATAACTACCTTTGAATGATCTTAGTAAGATCAGGCTTCCTTCCTACTACATAACATTATTGAAGACAGCACGCCGGATCAAAACCAAGCTGGGTAGTCATAAATATTATAGTCCACCTCTAGATATTTTGGTAAAGCTGTGGAAGTTTAAGCTATCACCAAACGATATTGTACGATGGCGTCTCCATCTTAAATAATTGATTGGTATTTGATAAAATTGAAATGCTAGAGTTATTTATGCAAATGTATTGTCACAAATTTACTGACTTTAAATAACGTTAGATCAGCCAAGATTACTACAACAACGTACAAGGTAGGCACAACGCAGTATTAAACCTATCTCCCTTACATTGTCCCCTTACATTACATTGTTTTATACACTCTTGGTTGAAATTTTTTTCAAATTCACGTTTACACAATATGTTCTTGTATTATATTCCCAGACCTATCGTGGGACAGTAATAGTAATGCATACAGTAAATAGTATAAACACTAGCTAAGCTCACAGAGATGCTGGCTCTAGTCTGGGACCGTCCCAGTGCGGCATCAACACTCTTACATAATCCCCCTGCGGCGAGATGGTATCGAAATTGCGGAAGGATCCCTTCATGAAATATTGTGGGAACCTCGTCTTAATATCTTTATTTCCAGCCTTGCATAGTCTCAATTTACCGTCGTTCTAATCATCCATGTAGATCTTAGCTTGTATTCCCCACTGCGCTACTCACCGAGAATCACGATATAGTCTTTAAACAATTTGAATGCTTATTTGCTATGTCCTAGATGTCCACAAATTTATATATTACACTTTCTGTCTCTAGCTGTATTGCATTTGAATAAAATTACTGATATTTTACTAAAAGTTACTCAAGCATACCGGTGTTACAAACTGGCAATAACAATATTTTCCTATGGTTAAACTTTTCTAAAAGACGATTCATAAGAAAATGTAACGGTTTTTAGTATGAAATATGTAAATTTATTTTTGTTTACATTTACCAATCTTGGGATGAGTAGGTAACGTTCCTTTTGGATGAGTTACGTTTACTTTTACTCCATAAAACTATTCAGCTATACCTACATAATCAAAGGATCACTATAGCTTACCATAAATAATCCACCTTTAATGTGATATACTGAATTAAAATGACCTTAAACCATTCTATTCACCTCGCCCAATTCTAACCGTAATATTTCAACGTTAAATGCCCCCACTCACCTGAAGATACTGTCAGAAGTCTTGTTTATTGAGACACGAATCTCATTATCTCTATTGACAACTTATTCCACTTGATCCGGACAAGTTGGGATTGCTCACGACTGTCGTGGGGTTGTATATCATCAGGTCGACAATCAGGCCTCAGACCCATATCTGTTACAAGGCCGAGTAGTCACTGCGCGGGCCGCAATATCAATCATTAATATTTTATGAACTAATCTACAGGACAACGTAGGTAGGGAAGGTAATCATTGGCATTTGAATGAAAGTGATCGCTTAATCGTGAGTTATTTTAAATTTACAATACCATAGTTGTTTCTATAGCCTAAGGTCAGAAGAACCGTAGTGACTCTTTTACAACACATTCGCTTAGAAAAGAGTTTTTATGTTATACTATAGAAATTGTTTTCGGCAATGTGAATCGGTGACATTTTGGTTAAACGGGATTATTCTTTTTGCAACTTACATTTGCATTTTATTCCTTTATTCCTTAGTACATTTATGTTGTCAATTTTTTGTTGAGCGGAAGATTTAATCCATCTCTTTTTTGTATCCATATTTTTATTTGTTTCGTATTTCCGTTTTACTGGAATAACGATTTGTCTTTAGTTTTAGCTATTGTGTTTCCTCGCTTTTGTAGGTTTTTTTGTAATCTTTTAGTGTTCCAGGTTCTATCCCATCTAAAGAGGAAACAAGATTCCGGATCACGAAACATTATTTTTACGTAGCTTGGGGAATTAAAGACATGGTCCATTGTTAAGATGAGACAGTTTTCTAAAAATGCTTGCATCAGCCAACTCAAAATAAGCTTAATTCATTTAATCATACTTACTTTGATTACTAATATTAAAATTAACTGACTTAGTTTCATCCCTCTGACAAACCTTTCGCTGGAAAATTTAAGAGGTATGTTAACAAAAGCTTTACTCTTTATTGTAATAGGCCAGGCAAAATGATTTTTCATGCACAAAACAATTCATCAAAGATTAATAAATATGATAGATATTACAAGTAGTAAAAGTAAGTAATCAACTATATATGTCTATGCTGTTCTAAGTGTTTTGCACTTCAATAAGCAATTAGAAATGTTAATAGTACTATGCAGAAATAGGGTGTTGTACCAAAGTTTATTGCACCGTTCCACAAGATAACTGCTGTGTTAAATCTTATTTTTTGGCCAAGACATTTTATAAAAGAAAATGTATAACCCTCTTTATGTTCAAAATTCAACTTAAATAAGGTCGTCCCATTAAGGCTATGTCAACGATTGATTGATTTTATTTAATAATAAATGTTTGACAGTTTTCGTATCATTAAATACATGATGTTCAAAAGTGGCATAACTAGGTGGTTAAATATATACCGCATGTGACTAAATATTCCCTATGAATTGTATGTGAACTTACAGTATTTCATTTATATGTACCCTACAAAATAAAATAAGTGTTCCTCTAAACAATTAAACTAATTAGGGGCTTGTCTTTCCAATAAGCTAATGTGATGTTTTCACCAATTTATTTACCTCAATTTATTGAATTTATATTTTGAACTTCAATGGATCGATAGTCGGAATGTTTGCATCGTTATAATTAAAGAGTTGGCCAGCATCCAACCCGCCAACACGCAACGTGGCGCGGCGCCTCTGGCTACGGCTGTATCTGACAGTTTACAATCATGCCAACTAGCTCTACCTATCATCTAACATACTACGTCCATTAAACAGAGTGTCGAAAAACGTTGAAACATAACAAAAATATGTAAACGGAGTTTTGAATGTATGACAAAATAGAGCATGTATGGAAAAGGAAGAAGACAGTAACACAGGTTATTACTAGTGGCATGAAAAAAAAAATGAGTTATTTCAACAAATTTACAAATCCTCAGCAACAAAATATTCAATACATACGTATTGTAACAGTTCATTTTTATTTTATTTATATTAATAACACTTATAGAGAAAGTATCAACTAATTATCAATATAGCACTATTGTAACGATGATTTATAAATCTTCCTGAAACAATCTTCAGGCTTCACCCTTAATTAGTAAAAATAATTTTCTGAGATAAATATGTAACATAAATAATGCACTTTCGCAGTTAATGTATTCTTTCTAGACATTCCGTCCCAAGTTAAATTTGCAGTCAGATTTTTAACAAAATTGCCGTGGTTGGTGAGAGCCACCGACAGATTGGATTGTACTGATCAAAATTACTTATTTTTGTTCAATACACAATCTTTTTTACCAATTCAGACTAATGAAATTACTTATTGTGAGCTATAGCAACTGTTATAACCCATCAACTTGGCCAGCAACAAAAAATAAGGGAGAAAATAGAGTTTTAGTCACTAGCGCATTCTGTGACATGCTCACACATCTACGTTCTTTTTTAACAAAGAATTAGCAACAGTTGGTCCATATTGATGGGACGTCTACTTCAGTATCCAATAGTCAATAGTCAATGGTAACACACTTCGGAATATAAACCTAAAAATATAACCTAAAACAAATTTAAATTAAAGGTATTTTGGCTTATGGAAGAATTCAAAAATAAATAAAACAGTCACTTCATATTTTTGAGACATGTCTTTGTACTTTCGTACTTAACTTCCTCTAAGGTACATAGGAATGGGCCAAAGGCTTGCCTTAAAGACTACTGTAATATTCACTCACAAGAGGGAAATACGATAAAATAATCCTTTGATACCTTCCTTTATATCCACTTTGGAATAAAATACTTTTACACGATATGAACGTCAAAAAAGTAAAGAAATGTGAGCTCGTAGGTGCTGCAGTTTAAAATACTGCAGTTGCTGCAGTCGTCTTCCGTAAGATCCAACCTTATGAGAAACCTGAATCAGTAAAGAGTAATGCAGGTCACGGTTTATCTGATACTCGTCACGGTGTATTTTGTATAACGGTATAGAAGACGGTGTTCATTGATTAGAGGTTGGGAAATTTGGTAGCTGGATCTCAGTGGGACAGTCACGAAGTAATTAAATCTATACCTAATCACCCGGACCACTCGGCGACATGCCCGTAGTCACGCCACCGTCGTAGTTGCATCATGACATTGCCAGATAAGCATCTCAGGTAACCGAGAGTTCATTCATCTATCAATGTAATACCTTTATGTAATGGATATTACTGTGAACCGAAGTGGGGCATTGGTAAAGGGTTCACCTGATTTTGACTAGACACAAAATTGTGGTTAAAGTGAAACAGCCATTAAATATGAATGGATAGTTTGTACACTTATCAGTAGTGCGTGTATCAAAGTTTAGTTTGGAGAATTTAATTTGTTTTAGCCGTGCTATTGGAGAGTGAACTAAGGATAGTTGGGAAAATAGTCCTAAAAACTATTAAAAAAAACAAACAATTTTACAACAATTTATGTAGAATTTTACTTATTTTCCACATTCATTCCTCCATCATAGGATGTGTTCACGTAACACCCAGTCTTATCCTTAATCAGATTATCCTTTTTATCAGCATTTGTTGCAGTTTAATTTAAAAGCCTATCAGAGACGTTAAGAAATAAAATTTAAAGTGGTAGTTTTATTCCTGTCTTCGAGTTAACTAAGTAATAATGTAATTCTGACATAAAATTGGAATAATAACTTTAAATCATGAAGGACGGGTTAAAACCGATAAGTTTTTGGGGGTTTAAGGTCAGGAATAAGACAAAAGAATTTCCAGGTACATACAAAACAATATCCTAAAGTGTCAAGGTGATTAAAAAGAGGATCGGCTAGTGCATAAAAGAGCCAACGGTTTTTAACTGACTACTGTAATATAACAGAAGATATACAGAACACGTATTATTGTTTTCTTTATATTCCAGTGGTAGTAGCCATGCTTTGCAGCAGGAAAAAGAATACGCTTCTTAAAGTCCTTTTACCACAGTATCGATTAATAAGAAAGCATAGCATGTTGTTAGTCGTGTTTTGGAGTACTTGGAGCCTAGATGTTTTAACTCGTAAAACAATTTAAAAACACTACAATGCAAATTTTTAATCTCACAGTATAAGCCCTACTAGATATTTAAATTAAAATCACTTTGGCATTTAAAAATTTTTTGAGGTGGTAAATAACTCTTCAGCGGCTGTTTGAAAGTAACAAAACTAATATAAATCCAAGATGGCCGTTGGCACTCATGGACTCTCTTGGAAATACATTCAAAACAACAAACAACATTTTATGAACCAAAAGCTCAAGAAACCGATTGCCACAACACAATCGATGTATCTTCAACAGCGGCAGTAAAGCATGATCCAGAATGATCACTGTGCATCTACAATCTCGTTGTTTCGAAATGTAACAAAGCAGTCCCATATAGGAGCCTTGTAGTACTCCATAAAGGAGCCGACGCGCCGGACGACCTCTCGCGATCATATCACACCCGACACACATAAACTGCTCAAGGTCACTCGAGTTATGGTTCCATTCCCGGAACACTACATGAGCAAGACTGTCGCCTGGTTATCATTGTACATGTAGTGTGAAATTGTTGGACATCGGCTCGATTTTTAACTGACTGTTATTGTTAAGAGTGTTGGAAGACTGTAGTAGAACGTGAATACAGTAGGAGGCTTGAGACGATATCTGGAAGTAAGATAACTATTAAAGCTAAAAAATATGTTATACATGATCTCAAAAGAGCATCTAGGCTATAGAGCAAGGATCTTAGTGTTCCTTACAAAGTAATGAAAGGCAACTCTCAGGCAAACAACTAGCGTACAATATAAACAGAGGATTCGTTAAGAATGTGGTAGGAGATTTTGTTGGCTGTAATGCAGATGCGATGCTTTAAATAGCTTTACCACTATATGTGAGAATAGCTGTTTTATTTTCGATCACTGACTAAAGAAAACCTCGAGAGAGAGTCACTATGTAAGGAAGGATTCACACAAGGTTAGAAAGTTAAGTATTGAAGTTAATTTTCCTGATAATCATTTAACATTTAATATTTTGTTTTTATCTTTGCTTCTAAATACACTTCCGTGCTTTGACTAAATGTCAACCATTGTAAACATATCCTTAAAAAGCCCAATATGCAATCATGGTTTATGGTCACAACATGATTTGCAGTTTATTGTAGTATAAATTTATTTTATTGCTGTTTTCTGAAATCTTATAAGTCGGTTAACAGTGAAGCCTAGTGAGAAAGTGGGCACTAGGTGTTATACAATGCAGCTGTAAAACACCGCCGTTGTCTGTGACGTTTACCGACTATAAACACGCCGGGGTGTATCCTAGGCATTTACACAATCGTTCTTATACAGGGGGTTCCGTAAGTAAACAGTCTAACTCCCGGAAATGGTCCTATGGGCCAAGCTGAAACATCATTAGTTGTAATATAAGGCAAAACTAGGTACAGTCTGACTAGCTTGACCAATTTCATCTTATTTTACGACACAAAGTCGTGATATTTCAGCTATTTTAGACCCATCTTTTAGAATTTTATACTCATCAATCCGTGGAATCAAATAGTAGAATTATACTCGTGTCAGTACTACGAGTTTTGTACAGCGGAGAGTTCGTCAGAGTACAAATATTTCTCTATTATTTCATCAACCCGTAGTGTTTCAGAGCCGTGTGTGTCGACGCAGGCCAAGAGTTGTCTTTGCGATACTCGTGTCAGTACTACGAGTTTTGTACAGCGGAGAGTTCGTCAGAGTACAAATGTTTCTCTATTATTTCATCAACCCGTTGTGTTTCAGAGCCGTGTGTGTAGACGCAGGCCAGGAGTTGTCTCTGCGATACTCGTGTCAGTACTACGATGTTAATGCAGCTAAGAGTTCGTCAGAGTACAAATATTTCTCTATTATTTCATCAACCCGTAGTGTTTCAGAGCCGTGTGTGTCGACGCAGGCCAGGAGTTGTCTCTGCGATACTCGTGTCAGTACTACGATGTTAATGCAGCTAAGAGTTCGTCAGAGTACAAATATTTCTCTATTATTTCATCAACCCGTAGTGTTTCAGAGCCGTGTGTGTCGACGCAGGCCAGGAGTTGTCTCTGCGATACTCGTGTCAGCACTACGAGGTTAGTGCAGCCGAGAGTTTGTCAGAGTACAAATGTTTCTCTATTATTTCATCAATTCGTTGTGTTTCAGAGCCGTGTGTGTCGACGCAGGCCAGGAGCTGTCTCTGCGATACTCGTGTCAGCACTACGAGGTTAGTGCAGCTAAGAGTTTGTCAGAGTACAAATGTTTCTCTATTATCTCATCAATCCGTTGTGTTTCAGAGCCGTGTGTGTAGACGCAGGCCAGGAGTTGTCTCTGCGATACTCCTGTCAGTACTACGAGGTTAGTGCAGCCGAGAGTTTGTCAGAGTACAAATGTTTCTCTATTATTTCATCAATCCGTTGTGTTTCAGAGCCGTGTGTGTAGACGCAGGCCAGGAATTGTCTCTGCGATACTCCTGTCAGTACTACGAGGTTAGTGCAGCCGAGAGTTTGTCAGAGTACAAATGTTTCTCTATTATCTCATTAATCCGTTGTGTTCCAGAGCCGTGTGTGTAGACGCAGGCCAGGAGTTGTCTCTGCGATACTAGTGTCAGTACTACGAGGTTAGTGCAGCCGAGAGTTTGTCATAGTACAAATGTTTCTCTATTATCTCATTAATCCGTTGTGTTCCAGAGCCGTGTGTGTAGACGCAGGCCAGGAGTTGTCTCTGCGATACTAGTGTCAGTACTACGAGGTTAGTGCAGCCGAGAGTTTGTCAGAGTACAAATGTTTCTCTATTATCTCATTAATCCGTTGTGTTCCAGAGCCGTGTGTGTAGACGCAGGCCAGGAGTTGTCTCTGCGATACTAGTGTCAGTACTACGAGGTTAGTGCAGCCGAGAGTTTGTCAGAGTACAAATGTTTCCCTATTATTTCATCAACCCGTTGTGTTTCAGAGCCGTGTGTGTAGACGCAGGCCAGGAGTTGTCTCTGCGACACTTGTGTCAGTACTACGAGGTTAGTTCTGCCGATAGTTTGACAGAGTACAAATGTTTCTCTATTATCTCATCAATCCGTTGTGTTTCAGAGCCGTGTGTGTAGACGCAGGCCAGGAGTTGTCTCTGCGATACTCGTGTCAGTACTACGAGGTTAGTGCTGCCGAGAGTTTCGCAGGAGTGTCCCTGGCCTTCCAGAGTCTTCTGCGAGAGGCCAGATCAGTTCAGTTACTGAGGGCGATGCCCATCCGCCGCAAGCTTGGAGTCAACTCTGTCTCTAAAGTCCTCGGCACCATCTTCGGCAAGAACAGTAACAAGCGAGATCGTAAGAAGAGGCCGTCTCTTAGTATATGAGAGACTTCTTCTCTGTTCCTACGCTCCTTTTACGTGTCCGAGTCCCCAGGTTCACCATTAACGCTAGGTCATCCCCAGTGATTATCATACTATTTATTATAAAACAAATGGTTGATTTAAAAGAGTGATTTTAAAATTATTAACTATTTAGAAGAGTGTAAAAACTGACATTCTGGTGGTGTTCTGTAAAAACTACATAATACCTATTATGTGAAATTGTAAATAGTAAAAATTAGGTTTTTAATGTTGAAAGTTGTTGTTATTCCGACTGTAAGAATATAAATTAATGTTGATTTGTTATTTGTTATTGTATACGTTGTGGTTGGATTCCAGTTTCCCACCTAGTAGCCTACTGTTTAAATGTTCTGTGTTTGCCAAATAGCAGGTCATCTTTAGCATTCACTCACAAAAATCAAAAATGTTGCCATATATTTTCAGATACGCCAATAATGATTTTGTATTATAGTATGTGTATTGTTGATGCTACTTGTTAGTAACCAATCGCAGAAAAAGAGTTGTTCTAATTAAATTATAATGGAGCGTGTTAGCCCTCCTCAGAATACAATTTTTTACGTTTTCTTGAGAGGTTTTTTTCTAATAAATTAATAGCCTAATAACTTAAAACATTAAAATCAAAATTTCAAAAGAATTTGTATTAAAATAGTACTCGAGCGAAAAAAATAGCATCATAGTAATTTTTTATGCTAGGCTAAATTCACCTTACATAGTGTACTCTACAGTATAAATGTTCAAACATTTTTTTATTCGAATTTGTTGTTGAATAATGTTGAGTTAAGCGGTTTTGATTATGGGTTTGCAGTTTTGTGTAGCAGCATAGGTTGAATGTTGATGGAAAATAAAATATGATGTTCCTATTTTGTAAATAGTGTAAATAGTAAGCAGCGTGAATAAAAGCTTGATGCCTTATTGGAGCATTTTTAATGTTTATCCCACGTTTACTTCTCATATCTTTAGATTTGTAAACGTATGCAAAGATAGGTGTTCAAGGTAATGTTTGTGATTTATGAGTTTTTGACGAGGAGTAGCCAGCCTATCTAGATAGTCGTCGATCGAGATCAGATAAATCTGATAGGTGGCAATATTGAGAAGGAACAATGGGCAAACAATAAGAAAAGTGGTCAGCACGAGGCTTATGAGAAAGTAAAAGTAGGCTAGATGAGGTCGCCGGTCCTTTCTCCGCTGGAGTCATCATTATGGAAACAATGCAGAGGAACTTATCAGGAGTTATTGGCATGATACGCCTACTGCGAGATACAGTGCTCGTGTGGTATAGCACTAAGCCGCTGAAGCGTACAGGCTTTGCGAGCAACTCAAACAACCTAGGTGATACTAAAGTAGACTTCTCATATAATATATGTATCTATTGTGAATAATTTGGTGTCCAAATAGAAAATATGTTTCTCTCACATCGTTTGCTAGAGTCAAAACTAAGTTTTCCCCACAACGTTTTCTACCATGGTAGTTGATGGAAACAAAAGATACCATACTGTGCAGTATATCATCCTAACAGTTTAATACATGCTAAAAACATTGGCGTATTCTGCAATGCAATTAACAACGGCACACTTTTGCTGTCACTCAGTTCACTCGTGATCAATAAATTATTTAAACTGCATAACGCTACAGCAGTACAAAGATATGTCTACTTCTATTAAAATTCAAAGATAAAACTCCACTATAGCATGTAGAAACTCATAATTAAGGATTCATTACGCAGTGAGAGGGCAAGAACTATAATAACTCAATGAGTCTTGCTTGTAAATCACATTCTTACAAGTGCACTTCACATCATTCATACTTCCACAAACCTCACTAATATAATTTTTATAGTCTTGGCTGTTTCAATTTAAACTGGCACACAGTACATTGTAAATCCCAAATACTTGTAAATCCACTGTTACACCGTATACTAAGGTAAATAGGACTAGTAACACTGACGGAAACACTTTGGACCGACCTAATTATAATTGGCGTTAATCGCTAATTACTTATGTGGACTCTTACTTATAAGGTGATGAAAGTGCAGAGAGGGCTAGGCCAGCCGAGGTCTACAGGATGGGCCAGAGAAACCAACATCGCAGTATTCAGGCCGCTGGGGCAGTCACGAGCGAATTAAAACCTATGCCTAATGACACCAAGTAGTTACCTACCTGTAGTATACCGGACTACAACCTGCAGCCGGCAAGAATCTTAATTGCATTAGGCCTAGCAAAATCCCGTTAAAAGTTGTTCAGATTTAAGTTATTTTATAACTTATTGCAACTTTATGAAATACTAGCTGCTGTACCCGTGCTTCGCAACGGGAAGATGTACTATACCGCCTAATCCAAACACTAAATAAGTTAACAATCTTTACTCGTATATACGTCCCTGCCTCAGCTGCAAATGAAATGAACCACTAAATAAGTGGTTTAAATAAAAAAATAAAAATAAATAAAAAACAGCAAATTTATTCAAAAAGTTTTAACCTACACGTAATTGTCCTGCTGTTTACATAAAAATACAGGTTGTCCATAAAAGAAATGAAACATTTTAAAGGTCAATATGGATACCAAATAAAAGAGTATGTTTAATGTTTCATAAATGCTTGGACGATATTGTATTCCAAATTAATTTAACTGTAGGCCTAGGCACCACTCGTCAATGTTGTCACAGACTTCATTGCTGTTCAGTGTGTTTTAAACAACTAGACATGTTTATGTAGTGCAATGGCAACTCCACAGCAAAAGGCCCAGTGCGTTATATGGTTTGTGGAATCCTCGAACCTCGTTTCGACGATCCGTAGATTAGCAGGGAGGGGCCTATCCAATGGCCTCCTAGGAGTCCAGATATCACAACTCTGGACTTTTCCTTTGGGGTGCAGTAAAAAATGACGTCTACTAGGTGCATATTCGGGATCTTAATCACCTCCGACAGAGAATAGTCGCCTGATACTAACCAAAACCTGGGAAGAGGTCAAATTTCGCTTTGATTTATGCCGGACCACTAATGGTGCTCATATCTAGTTGCGCTAAAAAAACTTGAGAATTTTAGCTTTAAAATACATACAGGGTGTTTCAAAATTGTCTTGACATTTTTGTGGACTTTTTCCCTGGGCTAAGACAAATATAAAACACCATACAAGTATGGGTCTAAAGTGCCTAGATTTCTGTCTGTCGGTGTGTTTGGGATTTTTATAAATTATTTTATATCTTGAGCGTTTTTCAAGATATAGATTTAAAATTTGGTATGAATGTGTAGTTTTGAAAGTAAAAAGGGCTGTGAAAATTCCGTTCCAATATCTCAAGCCGTTTCAATATGGCGGCCATTTAAAATCTTTAATGACAAATTTCATGAAAACCGTAAATATTAAGAACATTTTGTACCAGACCAAAAGGATAGAGGAGTTTAATAAAAATCAAATGAGACCTTGTTTGTTAAAATCGGAAAAGAAATAACTGAGTTATCAGTTTTTTCGACATTCGGATACTATTAAATTATAGGACTACCATGTACCCAAGTATGGTAGTCCTATTAAATTGCGTATCTAAATGACCTTAATGTTATAATAGTCAGAAGACAATGTCACGATTGTTGCTATCGTTACCATCCACAGAGTACTGATTGAAGGTGTACACAATTTAACCAATTCTTTTAAGGCCATTGATCGATTTAGAGATTGAAAATGATACGACTAGCACGAAAACGTTTGTTACGGTATCAAGGTAAGGCCTTTGTTAATATTATGACTTTATACAATATCATAGTATTACAACGACTTGTTCATGCGCATATCACATAAACAAACAATGTAAAAATGTTCATGTGGTGAGTGTTTAATAAGGTAACCGAACTTTTATCTTCTATCTCGACAAAATTACAAAAGCTCCTGTTCCCAAAATTATTAAATGTGCACAGTAAATTGTTTCTTCCCAACCTAATGGTAACTTGCAACTTTCAAACTAACTTAAAAGATTTCTTACTGCTTTTGTTTTGTAGATTATTTTAAAAGCTTATTCAATAAAACTGGGTTTTCAGTGATATAGAATTTTTTTAATTAAAATAAAGATCATATAACTGTTGGTAGATAGTTATAAAAAATTAAATTCAATTCAAAACATATTTCTTACAATGAAAAAGAGATTTTTTGAAAAAACTAATTAGTTCCAATATAGTAACACCTCAAAGTAAAATAACACTTAAGTATATCATGTCATTTCTCTCCAAAAATTGAGAAACAAATATGACATGACTAGTATTACGGTTGTAGATATACCATTCTGGCAATCTTTACCAAACCACGAGAAGACTAAGATTAATATTAGGGAGAGAAGGATGCTACATAATTTACAACCTCTAAAATTTAAACTCACACGTTTTCAATTTAATGTCAGTTAAGAGGTTAGCTTTCATATTTATGTAACGTAGTGTAGTATTTATGAAATATGGACAAGAAAGTTTACCTCCCTTGGCGAGGGTTAGAGTTTTTGGATGATTTATACATTTTAATACCTCCCGCTTGTGTAATGCGCTTAAGAGAATCTTTAGGAACTAAAACATCAAACTATGTATTATACTTCACATAGATTTGAGTTATGTAGCTATTATGGAGTTTGTCAACATCTAAAATTAACTCTTTAGTTAAACTATAAAAATAGAACTAAACATAGAAACTAAAATAAGGCCAAAATAAGTTCCAAATACAACAGATTATTTACATATTTTTTACCTTGTCTTAGCTTACTTTGAAGCTTGTTTTTAAATTGTTCATAATGATAAGTAATGGTGCAGTTTTTTAGCGTATGCTTATTTTTAACCCGATTTGTTTGCAAAAAGGTCACTGCAAAGTCTAAGCCAAATGGTTTACCAGCATTCATCTAAACTATAACTAGCTATGACCATAATGGTCTGCTGTAAACTATATCAGTATAAAAAAACAATCTGGCTTAATATAATAATATAATATAATAATAATAATTAATATAATAATAAAAAAACAAAATATAAATAATCATGTCGGGATTATATGAAAGACTTAAATATTGTAGGAGTAATTGTTTTAAACTCATTTATAAATTGTATAACATTTTTAAAACTCTGGACTATACTTTACCGCAAGATTCCTTATGAATTGAAAGTGCTTAATCCATAACTCGTTTAAATGTTGGCTTGCATATTTTAAAACTATTCCCATGCTTCGAGACGGGAAGAATGTATTGTAATGGTTCTTTAGATATTTTGTATAAGGTTGTTATCATCCATAATTAATTTTAAAAGTGAAACTTAATTTTACCGCTTTGTTTGATACTTCTCACTACTGTAATAAATATTACAATGAAATCCTAACTGTGTGGCAGAATCAAAACTAATACATTTATCGTAATGTGAACATCTATAATGCGAATCAAAAGGTTTACTTGGGAAAAAAGTTAATAAAAAGAATAAATAAAAAGAATTAATAAAAAGAAATCTAACTGATTATGCATCTCCAATATTTTAAATGTGATTAAATACCACCCTTTAAATGAGTTTGTACCCTTAGCTTAGCTGTACCTTAGGGTTAATCTAAAAGCTGATATTTTCGAGGAAGTTTCTCATCAACATCACCTTTCAATAAAGTATGCGGTTGATAAGTGAGCAGCATACGGTTTTCTCAGAAGTTCGTAATACTTATTAGCTTTACTGATTTAAATCGTGAAAAGTTTATTTCATCACTAGGTCCTAAGGTGAATCTCATTGAAGTGAGCTCAAGTTTAACAAACGAAATGGTGAAATAGCAAGTGGTCTATGGCCCATCTAGTGAACATTATTTTTCGCCTAGAGTATTGCCAACAAGCCCACAGAACGATGCTTATTTGTAAATTGCTTACCATATTTACTCGATTAAAGATTATTTTTGTC